CTCTATGCAGTTATTCTAGTGGCAAAGAAATAAAAACAGTATGCTCCTGAAGAAAATTCACTTGCAACAGTTGTCTTTGAGTTGGGATAAATATTTCTGGCATCATTCCTTGGGAAGCTTGACTCTTTCAATCCTGCTGTTGAACTCTGGGCCCAATATGTGGAAAGAATGTGTTATGTTTTTCCAGACAAATGATATTGGGGCAGATGAAAAGCAACAAGTAATCCTTCTGGGACAAAAACAGAAGTTGTTGGAAAAGCTCAGCAGGTCTGGCAGCATCTGAGATGAGAAATCAGAGTTAATGTTCGAGTCCAGTGACCCTTCCTCAGAACTCTAATCCCTCCGACTGCTTGCAGACCCGCAGCATTTTCAGTTATTAGGCACCTTACTTTCCCTGAGGCACCAGATAGTAAAACCTTTCAAGAGTTGACGGATTTAGTTAACAAATGTTACACTCCAAACCTCATCTAATTCTGAGATGCTATCAGCTTTTATCAGCAGTTCAAGAACCAGGGGAATCCGTAATGGGAATTTTGATGAGGTTAAGATGACTGGCAAAGGTGTGTGATTTTGGGTTAACCCTATGAGATTCTGAGAGGGCAATTGGTATGTGGGATTAATGACATAATCGTGCAAAAGCACCTACTACCTGAAGTCCAACTGGACATCAAACAGATACTGCAATTGGCTTTGTCATTAGAAAATGTGGCAATTGAAACATGTGAGCTACAGGGCATCCCAATGGAATTGGACACCCTCACCTGAGCTTGGGGAACGCCACTTGAGTGTAAGCAATCGCAGAGCCTCATGCAGGACATATCCTGAGCAGTGGACCGTAGGCCAGCCCCCAGCAAAACCTCAAAACTAAGCTGAGCTTCGGTCAAATGGCTAAAATGGTTTTCAGGATCCGGGCTGACATAGTAGTTGCTTCCGGTATGCAGACTCGAGAGAGCAAAGCAGTCCTACGAGGCCTGACTTGAGTAGGAAAACTCATGGGCCGGTATCTAGAAGAGTGCACATCCTGGAAAGTCCATCTACATGAGGTTTGGAACAGTTAAATTGCTTAGCAACGTCCAAATCAGAACCAACCAAAATAAATGTCTGATGACCATCCCACCTACCTTCCCCAGCCCCACCCCCACCCCTCCTCTATTTATTTCAGAGCTCCCTTCCTCCTCCCACATTTCTGAAGAAGGGTCCCGACCCAAAACGTCAACTTTCCTGCTCCTCTGATGCTGCCTGGCCTGCTGTGTTCATCCAGCTCCACACTGTTATCTCTGATTCCAGCATCAGCAGTTCTGACTACCTCTAATTAAATGGTCACCTGGTTCTCATGCAGGTCGATTACCAGCGCAGCTGCATCAATGGCTGCAGAACCAGTCTTTAACAGAATTTGCTCTGGACTCCAACCCTTGAGTTTAAACACGACCTCAGCCAGGCTGAGAATGTACACCGGGAACCATTACAGATTAAGGGTATGACTTTGGCTCTAGTCTCCTATGAGAAGCAGTTGGTGCAGTAGCCGCTGATTGTATTAAAAGGCTCAGGCTGAAGCTTGACAGGGTGAAATTGGTTGAGAAAGATTCACCTTGATTGGCTCAACATTTTTTGATTAGAAAATGGCTGCCTGAGTGAAGTCCTAATTAAATACCCAGATGGTTTTCAGGAAGGTCTAGGGACTATCAAAGGAGTCAAGGCCATCTTGCATGTTGACCAGGAAGAAATTCCATAATTCAGCAAGGCGCCCCCAGTGCCATTTGCCTTGCATGCAAATGTAGAAGCAGAAATCAGGAGGCTGGAAAGCGAAGGAATCCTCAAACCAGTATAGTTTGCGGAATGGGCAGCATCAGACATGAACCAATGTGAAGCCTGATGGCTCGGTCCACTTTTGTGGGGATTTTAAGCAAATGGTAAACTGCTTCTCACAGCTGGATAAATACCTAATCTCTCACATAGAGAACTTGTATGCAAAACTGCTGGGGTGGCGGAACTGGACCTGAACCATGTATACCTGCAGTTATAGCTAGACGAGGGTTGTGAGAAATATGCCACAATTAATACCCATAAGAGTTTGTACCAATATACAAGACTGCCATTTGGGATATCATCAGCCCGTGCCCTTTTCCTGCAGATGATGGACGTTTTACAAGGTCTATTCCAGGTTGCCATTTATCTCGATGACATGCTAATAACAGGGAAGACCAATAAGTGCACTTGGAGAACTGGACATAGTGCTTTAAATGTTTCTCCAAGGTGGGTGTTGCCTTAGAAGGGGAAAAGGAAGGGTCACTGGACCTGAAACATTAATTTGATTTCTCTCTACAGATGCTGCCAGACCCGCCGAGCTTTTCAAGCAATTTCTGTTTTTGCGACCCAAGTGACCTATTTGGGCTACGGAGTTGACAAGACCAGGCTTCACCTGTTGGAAGATAAAGTGAGGGCGACTTCCACGTCTGTACCAGAGCTTGGGTCTTTTGTTGAGTTGGTCAATTCATACGTAACATGCCTTACAGTAAAATGTCGTCACATCTACCTGCCGTGCAAGTTCAGTTCTGCCATCTTGACAGCAGTCTACATACCACCCCAAGCGAATATGAAGAATTCCCTCGATGAAATTTATACTACCACAAACACTCTGGAGACAAAATTCCCTGAGGTCTTATTCATCATGGCGGATGACTTCAACCCGGCCAACCTCGAGGGTGCTGCCCAAATACCACCAACACATTCTCCTGCCCCCCACTAGAGGACCGAACATCTGAGACACTACTAAACAACCATCAAAGATGCTTATCGCTCCATCCACCGTCCACACTTTGGAAAATTAGATCACAATCCTCCCAGCCTACAAGCAGAAGCTTAAACAGAAGAATCCTTCACAGTAAGTAATAGAATGCTGGTCTGAGGCAGCGGAAGACCTGTCTCCAGGATTGCTTGGAATCGGTGGACTGGATCGTATTCAGGTAGTCAGCAGAAAACATAGACGAGTACGCCAACACTGTCATGGACTTCATTAGCAAATGTGTGGAGGACTGCCTGCCAAAGAAGTCAATCTGGGTGTTCCCCAACCGGAAAACTTGGATGAACCAGGAAATCCACTACCTAGTGAAGACCAGGTGTGTAGTGTTCAAGTCAGATGACCCAGACTTATACTGAAAATCCAGATATGATCCCACAAAGCCACCAGGGATGCCAAGACCAAGTTAGAGGCCAAAACCAACCATATGAACAGCTACTGCCTATGGCAAGGCCTACAGGATACAAAATGAAGCATAGCAAGATAGCAGCCAACATCTGTCTCTGGCCTGCTGCAATGTTCCAGTGAAGCTCAACGCAAGTTGGAAGAACAACACCTCATTTTCTGCTTGGGGACCCTTCAGCCCTCCGGACTCAATATTGAGTTCAATAATTTTAGGGCCTAAACTCTCCCATGTCCTAGACCCCTACCTCACACACCAGGCCTTGTTATCACATAGCCTGTTATTCACACCACCTGTTGTTAGTCACTAACAGTCCCCATTAACAACTATTCACCCTCTTAGCCAGATTGTTATCAACTCCTTTGTCTGTCCAACTGCTTTTCTCTCTCTTTAGGCTCTATCCTGTCGATTACTCCCTACTCCACCCTCCTCTCTATTTTCTGCTTATAAACTGACGTTTTCCCAGCTACCATCAGTTCTGATGAAGGGTCACCAGATGAAATGTTAATTCTGAGATAACAAAGTGTAGAGCTGGATGAACACAGCAGGCCAAGCAGCATCAGAGGAGTAGGAAAGCTGATATTTCAGGCCTAGACCCTTCTTTGGCAAAAGGGCATTTTCTGAAGAAGGGCTTAGGCCCGAAATGTCAGCTTTCCTGCTCCTCTGATGCTGCTTGGCC